TTAGTTTGTATTCTAATAAATAGAATACAATTATATTTGAATTCATGTGATAAGCAATGACATTCTTATTCATCATTCCTTGTACATTTATTAGTTTGTATTCTACTATAAGGAAGAGGTTTTTTTTTTCTGAGTTGTATCTCAGCGGATTCATAGATTCTTGTTTAGTCTGTTGGTTCTCATCTGTTGCTATTATTATTTATTTTGATGTTCTGATGTGTTCAGATTTGGCTCATGAGAACTCCTTCAAGATTTCATTTTTTTGAGACAGTTTTCACTCTTGTTGCCCAGGTTGGAGTATGATGGAGTGATCTTGGCTCACTGCAACCTCTGCCTCCCGGATTCAAGCGATTCTCCTGCCTCAGCCTCCCGAGGAGCTGGGATTACAGGCATGTACCACCATGCCTGGCGAATTTTGTATTTTCAGTAGAGATGGAATTTCTCCATGTTGGTCGGGCTGGTCTTGAACTCCTGACTTCAAGTGATCGGCCTGGCTTGGCCTCCCAAAGTGCTGAGATTACAGGTGTGAGCCACTGCGCCCAGCCCTTCAATTGGATTTCTGTGTCTATTATGATCTTTTTATTTTTACTTATCAATACATATATAAATATACACACACATATATTTGAGACAGAGTCTTGCTGTGTCTCCCAGGCTGGAATGCAGTGGCATGATCTCAGCTCACTGCAACCTCTGCCTCCTTGGTTCAAGCAATTCTCCTGCCTCAGCCTCCTGAGGAGCTGGGATTACAGGTGTACATCACCATGCCAGCTAATTTTTATATATTTAGTAGAGACAGGGTTTCACCATGTTGGCCAGGCTGGTCTCCAACTCCTGACCTCATGATCTGCTTGCCTCTGCTTCCCAAGTGCTGGGATTACAAGCGTGAGCCGCCGTGCCCAGGTATCTATCTATCTTCCTTCCTTCCTTCCTTCCTTCCTTCCTTCCCTCCCCCCTCCCTCCTTCCCTCCTTCCCTCCCCCCTCCCTCCTTCCCTCCTTCCCTCCTTCCTTCCTTTCTCTCTCTCTCTTTTTCTTTCTTTTCTTTTTTTTATGAGATAGAGTCTTGTTCTGTCACCCAGGCTGGAGTACAGTGGCACTACCTTGGCTCACTACAATCTCTGCCTCCTGGGTTCAAACAGTTATCTGCCTCAGCCTCCCGAGTAGTTGGGATTACAGGCGCCCAACACTATACCCGGCTAATTTTTGTATTTTTAGTAGAGACAGGGTTTCACCATCTTGGCCAGGCTGATCTTGAACTCCTGACCTCATGATCCACCCGCCTCAGCCTCCCAAACTGCTGGGATTATAGGCGTGAGCCACTGCGCCTGTCCTATTTTTCTTGATAATTATTATTTTTTGAGACAGACTTTCACTGTGTCATCAAGGCTGGAGTATAGTGGCACGATCTTGGCTCACTGCAGCCTGTGTCTCCCAGTTCAAGTGATTCTCCTGGGTCAGTCTTCCTAGTAGCTGGGATTACAGGTGCCTGCCATCATGCCTGGCTATTTTATTTTATTAGTAGTTTTAGTAGAGATGGGGTTTCACCATGTTGACCAGGCTGGTCTCAAACTCCTGACCTCAAGCGATCCACCTGCCTTGGCCTCCCAAAGTTCTGAGATTACAGGCATGAGCCACTGTGCCTGGCCATATTTTTCTTGATTATTAAAGTAATACAAGCAAGCAGGGAATGGTAGCTTGTGCTTATAATGCCAGCTACTCTGGAGGCTGAGGCAGGAGAATCACTTGAGCATAGGAGTTCGAGGCCAGCTAAGCAACATAGTGAGACTCCCATCTCGAAAAAGGTTTTCTTTTTTTAGGCAATATCTTGCACTGTTGCCTGGGCCAGAGTGCAATGGTGCAATCTCAGCTCACTGCAGCATCTGCCTCCCAGGTTCAAGCGATTCTCCCACCTCAGTTTCCTGAGTAGCTGAGATTACAGGCATGTGCCACCATGCCCAGATAATTGTTTGTATTTTTTAGTAGAGATGGGGTTTCAATATGTTAGCCAGGCTGATCTCAAACTCCTGACCTCGTAATCTGCCTGCCTCGGTTTCCCAAAGTTCTGGGATTACAGGCATGAGCCACCTTGCCTGGCCAAAACTTGAGAATTAGCTGAGTATGGTGCCACATGCCGATAGTCCCAGGTATGTGGGAGGATAAGGTGAGAGGATCCATCCTTTGAACCCAGGAGTTCAAGGCTGCACTGAACTATATGGATCATGCCACTGCGTTCCAGCCTGGGTGACAGTGAGACCCTGTGTCTGAAGAAAAAGTAATACAATATTTAAAAATTTTTAATGTAAAAGCAGGGAGAAGGATATAAACGTATTTGCAGTCATCGTCATCTTTTTTTTTTTTTTTTCTGAGACAAGTTTGCCCAGGCTGGAATGCAATGGTGTGATCTTGGCTCATTGCAACCTCTGCCTCCTGTGTTCAAGCGATCCTCCCTCCTCAGCTCCTGAGTAGCTGGGATTACAGGTGTGAGCCACTGCGCCTGGCCTGATCATCTTCTATATATTGATGTATTTCCTTTCAGCCTTTCATTGCATTTTTAAATTTCTAGAACTAAAGGTAGAAATTTGTATCTTAGTTTTATGTTTTTAACCTGTCATTGAATTTTAAGCATTTTCTTGAATAACACAGAGCTCTCTGGAAGCTGTGTCTCACAAGCAATTATCCAGGGGACCCAAATATACCAGTGCTACCTTGGCACCCACCTACTCCCTCTGCTTTTGGAAGGCATGTTCTTTCCCCCTCTGAAAGTAGACTCCAGTTTTCTCTCTCTCTTCCTCTCCTTCACTGAACTTTTTTATTTTTTCAGCATAATCCTTGCCTATTCTCTTCTATTTGAAGAGCCAACAGACGTTCAGAATGGCGGGAATTTGGAGAGCAGGGAGAAGAATAGTCCCAGATATGAGGTAGAACACCATTATTTTGCTGGAGATAGAGCAGTAGGCAGAGCTGGACAATGAATAAATTAACAATAAATAGATAATAAAATCAGGAGGCCAGACATACCATGAAGGAAAGTAAAGAGAGTAGTGGGTAGGCAGGCGCTATTTTAGATAGGGGGACAGGGCTGGCTGTGTACAGTGGCTCATGCCTGTGATCCCAACACTTTGGGAGGCTGAGGCGGATGGATCATGAGGTCAGGAGTTCAAGACCAGCCTGGCCAGCATGGTGAAAGCCCGTCTTAGCTGGGTATGGTGGCACATTCCTGTAATCCCAGCTACTCAGGAGGCTGAGGCAGGAGAATTGCTTGAACCAGGACCTGGGAGGCGGAGGTTGCATTGAGCTGAAATTGTGCCACTGCACTCTAGCTTGGGCTACAGAGCAAGACTCTGTCTAAAAAAAAAAAAATGCCGAGCGCGGTGGCTCAAGCCTGTAATCCCAGCACTTTGGGAGGCCGAGGCGGGTGGATCACGAGGTCAACAGATCAAGACCATCCTGGTCAACAGGGTGAAACCCCGTCTACTAAAAATACTAAAAATCAGCTGGGCATGGTGGCACGTGCCTGTAGTCCCAGCTACTCAGGAGGCTGAGGCAGGAGAATTGCTTGAACCCAGGAGGCGGAGGTTGCGGTGAGCCGAGATCGTGCCATTGCACTCCAGCCTGGGTAACAAGAGCGAAACTCTGTTTCAAAAAACAAAAAAGAGGACAGGGAAGGCATCTCTGGTGAGGCTGTATTTGAGCAGAGATCGGAGTGTCTTTTTTTTTTTTTCCCCATTGGAGGTTTGCTCTTGTTGGTGCAATCTCAGCTCACTGCAACCTCTACCTCCCAGGTTCAGCTGATTCTCCTGCCTCAGCTTCCTGAGTAGCTGGGATTACAGGCATGTGCCACCACGTCTGACTAATTTTGTATTTTTAGTAGAGATGGGATTTCTCCATGTTAGTCAGGCTAACTCCCAGCCTCAGGTGATTTGCCACCTTGGCCTCCCAAAATGTTGGGATTACAGGCGTGAGCCACTATGCCCAGCTATCTGAATGTTGTACAGATTAGAAAGCTCAGGAAGGTACAGTAACTTTTCTAAGGTTACAAGGCAGATTTAGTATTAAATTAGATTTTTATTTAATTTGGAAGCCCTCTGCAAATAGTACCTCAGTGTTCTTAGAAGTCTTTTGATTTTAGGCTGGGTGCAGTGGCTCATATATGTCATCCCAGCACTCTGAGAGACTGATGTTGGTGGATCACTTGAGGTTAGGAGTTTGAGACCATCCTGGCCAACATGGTGAAACCCCGTCTCTACTAAAAATACAAAAATTAGCTGGGCATGGTGGTGTGTGCCCGTAAGTCCAGCTACTCTGGAGGCTGAGGCAGGAGAATTGCTTGAACCCTGAGGCAGAAGTTGCAGTGAGCCGGGATCGCGCCACTGCACTGGGGCCTGGGCGACAGAGTGAGACTCCATATCAAAACAATAAAAGAAAAAAATCCTTTGTTTTCAGGGATTCCTGATTCTTGGTTTGTTTTCAGGGATTCCTGACTCTTGGTTGGTCTGTCTCTCTCCCTATCCCTTGCGTGAAAACATTTCTTTTCTTTTTTTTTTTGAGACGGAGTCTTGTTCTGCTTCCCAGGCTGGAAGGCGGTGGCCTGATCTCAGCTCACTGCAACCTCCGCCTCCTGGATTCAAGCAGTTCTCCTACCTCAGCCTCCTGAGTAGCTGGGATTGAGGGTTTACACCACCACACCCAGCTAATTTTTGTATTTTTAGTAGAGACGGGGTTTTGCCATTTTAGCCAGGCTGGTCTCCAACTCCTGACCTCAGGTGATCTGCCCACCTCAGCCTCCCAAAGTGCTGGGATTACAGGTGTGAGCCACTGCTCAAAATCATTTCTAAGAAGTGAAACTTAACCAAGAGATTTTTTTGTGCTTTGAATGTCAGTGGTTGGGATAGAAATGAAGTTTGCTTTAAGGAGAGGTTGAGAATTATTTTGGAACTCGGTAATTACTTGACTCTAAATCTAAAATCTACAGTTTTTGGTGTCCTTAAGGTCTTTTCAGGAAGATGAACCCTCCTTTGCAGAAGTTGGAGCTGCCCCAGAGAGTCTGTTTGTGAAGACAGAGGCCCAGCCTTCAACATCCTCGCTGGCAAACACCTCATCGACTGCCACAGTGATTTCTGACAGTGGCTTAGGAAGTCAAATATGGGAAGACAAGGGTCCGGTGACATGGGATGCACCATCTTGGACCTCAGAGGCCCAATTTTCATGGACCCGGATTGCAAAGGCTCAGGCCTGGAAAATCCATGCTATGGAGGGTCACGCCAGGACCAGTCAGCCCAAGCCAATTTCTGTACCAGAGGTGGCACCTTCCTCAGTCCTAAAGCAGAAACCCACAGATGAGAAGGTGCAGATGACAGAGAAGGAAGAGAGTGAGGTCCTCTATGCCCGTCCATTCTGGTCTAGCAAAGCTGAGTACATTCTCGCCCAGGTGGGCTTCTCTGTGAGGCCAGATTGTCTCTGGCACTTTACCTACCTGTGGCTTAACAGTGGAGGCTGTAAGTCTGGGGATCAGGAAACCTGGGTCCACAAGGGGCTAGCAGACAGAGTCCTAGCCAGGCTTTAAACGCAAATGTCTCTGAGATATGTAGAGGCTGAAGACCTGGTACTCAGAGCAGCATAGGCGCCAGGTCCCTGGACACCTAGAATTACAAGAGGGGTAGAGGTTCGGGGTATCTGAACATGGGGATGGCTGAGCTGGAGGCCTTGGTCCAAGATGGGCTGGAAACTAGGTACCTGGGTCTTCCAGGAATTGGGGGCCAGGGAATTGGACATTGGGGATTGTGAGAGATGTAGAAATGGGTGAGCCTGGCCAGGCGTGGTGGCTCATGCCTGTAATCCCAGCACTTTGGGAAGCTGAAGTGGGCAGATCATGAGGTCAGGAGATGGAGACCATCCTGGCTAACGTGGCGAAACCTTGTCTTTACTAAAAATACAAAAAAATAAGTTGGGCATGGTGGCATGCACCTGTAGTCCCAGGTACTTGGGAGGCTGGGGCAGGAGAATCACATGAACCAGGGAGGCAGAGGTTGCAGTGGGCTGAGATCGCGCTGCACTCTAGCCTGCATGACAGAGCAAGACTCTGTCTCAAAAGAAAAAAAACGAAAAAAAAAAAAAAAAAAAAAAAGAAATGGGTGAGCCCTGTCACCCTGGGGGAGGTCATTGGTATGGAGAATGTTTTCCTGGGCTCCTGAAGCAGTCCAAGCACTGAAAGGCCAAATGGTTCTCAGAGTCCCTCCTGAATCCTCTTCACAGGCAGTTTCGTAGCTGTCTACATCTTCATGCTGTTCCTAGTCGGGGTTCCTCTTCTCTTCCTGGAGATGGCAGCTGGTCAGAGCATGCATCAGGGTAGCATGGGTGTATGGAAGATCATTGCTCCCTGGATTGGTGGTGTGGGGTATTCCAGCTTCATGGTGAGGAGCCCTTGGCTGCCCAGGCCTGACTTTTACACCCCACCCCCATGCCAACCCTCTTCCTGAAATGTGTCCCATGAGTACTTCCATGAGTCAAATCCCTTTGGTTCCCCAATCCTCTCTCAAGTTCCCTCCCCTTTCCGGTCCCTGCTCTTCCTCCCCAGCCACTTCCTCCTTGGCCCCCAGGTGTGCTTCATCGTTGGCTTGTACTTGAATGTGATGAATTCCTGGATGGTCTTCTACCTGAGCCAGTCCTTCCAGTATCCTGTTCCATGGGAGAAATGTCACTTAATGGCGAACTCTAGTGGCTTTGGTGAGGAAGAGGTGAAAGAAGAGGAGATGGGAAAGATGGAGAAGTAGAAGGGAATTGGGAAGAGGAGAAAGGAGTGGGGAGGGACAAGGAAGAGGAAGACAGAAGAAGGAAAAAGAAATGGGAGGGGGAAAGAGGAAAGGGAGGTGGGGGAGGGGATAAAAAAGAGGAGGGGTTACCTTGTCTAGCAGGCATGTCCAAAGCCAGGTCCCCCCAGATCCTGCATGTGAACGGACAACACCCTCCATGTACTTCTGGTACCAGGAGACCTTGAAGGCCTCAGACAGAATTGAGGATGGTGGGTCACCAGTCAGCAATCTGGTCCTGCCCTTCTTTATTTGCTGGTGTCTTGTTGGTGCTTTCATGATCAATGGGCTTAAGTCCACCAGGAAGGTGAGCCACCAGTGTTGGACTCCTTGAAATTCTCAGATGCTTTAGTCCTTACCTCACTTTGTTACTTGTTCACTTCCTAATTTCTTACTCCTCTGGCCTTTTACTCCCACTGGCCCCTGATCCCTGACCCTTGCCGAACGCTTTCTTCTAACTCCTACTCATTTCTGACTCAGAACTTTTGATCCCTCCTGACTCTTAGTTGACCCCTACTGGTACACGGTTGCTGATATGTCTCACTTTCTATTCAGGTCATATATGTCTTGGTATTGCTCCCCTGTTTCATCATCATTGGGCTCTTCATCCGGAGTCTACTGCTGGAAGGGGCAAAATTTGGCCTTCAACAGTTGGTGGTTGCCAAGGTGAAGTCAGTCTTCTGCACTCCCCCATCAGGCCTTGTAGCACCACAGCTACCTCTTCTTAGAACTTGCTTTCCCCATTCTTTCTTTCTGTATCTCCCTCTCTCCTCCCCGAAACGTTTCTGTTGTTGTTGTCCTCTGCTGCTGCTTTTACAACCCCCTTATACTTTTATCTCTTTTAGATAGCGGACATGTACAACGTGGGTGTGTGGTCTGTTGCAGGGAGTCACGTTTTGTTTAACACAGGCATAGGCCTCGGCTCCGTTGCCGCCTTAGCCTCCTACATGCCCCAGTCCAACAACTGTCTCACTGATGCCTTTCTCGTGTCCTTGATAAACCTGCTCACTTTGGTGATTAGCACATCTTTCAACTTCTGTGTCCTGGGCTTCTGGGCGACAGTCATCACACATCGCTGCTGTGAGAGGTAAGTTCAGCCCCTTAGTTGAGCATCCCCCCACCTTGTGCTAACTGGCAGCAGAAGTGATGGGTGAGGACAGGAGACAGAGCCATTAATTCTGTCTGGACTAGTCAGATGGGGCCTTCCAGAGGAGGTAACCCTGAGTTGAATTGCTCCCAGTAATCTTTATTTTTTTTATTCTTTTTTAAATTTTTGAGAATGGGGTCTCTCGCTGTATTGGTCAGGCAGGTCTTGAACTCCTGGGCTCAAGCTATCCTCTTGCCTCTTCCTCCCTTAGAGCTGGGATTACAGGCACGAGCCACCACACCCAGCCTCTCCTAGGAATTTTAACCCTCACAAATAACCACCATTTTCTTCTAGAAGATGCCTGAGCATATACTGTGTACATGTCCAAGAGTTCTTGACAGTATATAGTTAGGAATGGAATTGCTGAGTAGGATATGCTTGCCTTCAGTTTTATCATATATTGTCTGCTTTTCAAAGTGGTACGGTGTATTACCCTCCCATCGGGGATGTGTGAGACTTTCATTTGTTTTACTTTTTGCACAACACTTGATTAAACTTGATTGGACTTTTAAATTTTTCCCAGTCTGGTGGCAGTGTAATGGTATTTTTTGTGTGTTTTTAAAAAAAAAACCCTTTTATTATGAGCTATTAAATACATATAGAAGAATGCATAAAACAAGGCCAGGCATGGTGGCTGGTGTCTTCTTGGTGCTTTCATGAACAATGGGCTTAAGTCCATTGATCATGAGATGGACTTAAACCATTTCATGGGAGGATTGCTTGAATCGAGGAGTTTGAAACCAGCTGGGTGAGACCTCACCTCGAGCAAAAAAAGAAAAAACGTATAAAACAAGGTATAATATAAAGAACTATGAAGTAAACATCACCGGTATTAAGAACTAGAATAACCCTAGGAGTTCTCCATGTGTCTTTTTCTAATCATAATCTCTTTACTGCCTCCCAGAGGTAACCATCATAAAAGTCAGGATAGTGGTTACTATATTGCTTAGATATGCATACATAGATGTTAGAATATCAGGAAAAAAAGAATTAATCATCATAAAAGTCAGAGTAGCGATTAGTTCTTTGTTTTTCTTTATATTCTATCATCTATGTATGCAGAGCTAAGCAATACAGTTTAATTTGTCCAATTATATAAAGAAATACAGTTTTTCTGTTTGTTAGTTTTTTTTTTTTTTTTTTGGATGGAGTCTCGCTGTCACCCAGGCTGGAGTGCAGTAGCATGATCTTGGCTCTCTGCAACCTCTGCCTCCTAGGTTCAAGCAATTTTCCTGCCTCAGCCTCCCGTAAAGCAACATAGTTTAGTTATTTGTTTCCTCACATGTACATTGTCTTTGCTTACTTTTGTGCTTTATTTCTGTCATTCAACATGTTTGTAATATTTATCCATAGTGTGTATAACTTTAATCTGTGCTTTTAAAATGCTGTATAATGTTTCAGTAGATGTCTATACCACAGTTAAAAAAAATCCATTCTACTATTGATGACATTTGGAGTCTTTCCAGTTTTATGCCATTAAAACAGTGTTGCTGTAAACATTCTTACGCATGTTCCTGTGTACTACATATGTGCACATTTTTCTGGGATAGATGAGTTAGATTGTCGAGGCATAGTTATCTATTCTTAGGTAACAAATCGCCCTGGAAGTAAATGGATTAAAACAACAATGATTTATCTTATGATTCTGTGGGTTGGCTGGAAAGTTCTGCAGTGCTTGCGTGGGTTCACTAACATGGCTGCATTCAGCTGGAGGGTTGGCTGGGGGCTGAGCCCAGCAGGAATGGCACCGCTCTTTTTTTTGAGACAGAGTTTCACTCTTGTCACCCGGGCTGGAGTGCAGTAGTCTGATCTCAGATCACTGCAACCTCCACCTCCCAGGTTCAGGCAATTCTCCTGCCTCAGCTTCCTGAGTAGCTGGGATTACAGGTGTCCGCCAACACACCCAGCTAATTTTTGTGTTTTTAGTAGAGTCAGGGTTTCACCATGTTGGCCAGGTGAACTCCTGACCTCAGGTGATCCACCCACCTCGGCCTCTCAAAGTGCTGGGATTACAGGCGTGAGCCACCGCACCTGGCCGGCACTGCTCCTCTTTAAGTGGTGTTGGCTGGGTTTACTCCTGTTGTAGACATAAAAGTCAGGATAGTGGTTACTATATTGCTTAGATATGCATACATAAGCCAGCAAGGGCTGTTCACTTCCATGAGGCCTCTCCGTGGGGCTCGTTTGGTCTTCCTCACATGGCAGCTCACAGAGCACAAAGGCAGACTCAGCAAACTGTCTTGAAGGGAAGTATAGGACTGCTTCCATTGCCACTACATTTCTTGGTTGACGGAAGTAAAAAAAAGCCACCCCAGGGTGGACATGGTGGCTCATGCCTATAATCCCAGTACTTTGGGAGTCCAAGGTGGGTGGATCCTGGAGTCAGGAGCTCGAGACCAGCCTGACCAACATGGTGAAACCAACTCCATCTCAATTAAGAAAAAAAGAAAGAACAAAAAAAGTCCATCCCAGATTCCAAAGGTAAAAAATATATTTTACCTCTTAATTGAAGGAGCTGCAAAATGTTGTGGCTGTATTTCTTCACTCTGCCATGTTTATCTATAACTTCACAGATGATGCCAGATTACTTTCCATAGTGTTTGCGCCAATCTATAATTGTATGTATATGAAATGTATGTATGGAAGTTCTCACTACCTCACTCTTGCAAATACTTGTCATAGTTTAAAAATTTTGCCAATTTGGTAGGATTGTATGGTTTTAATTTGTATTTCTCTGGTTATTGATAAGGTTATGTATCTTTTGATATATTTATTGGCCATTGGATTGTCTCTTTAGCAAAATGTGTGGTCAAGTTCATTTTTGCCCATTTAAAAAAAATATTGGATGATCTGTCTTTTTCTTTGGGATTCTTTATATGTTCTGGATATGTTGTCATTTTCCAGTTATATATATTAAAGTTCTTTTCTCCCAGCTGGTGGAGGACATTGAACCTCCCAAATTCAAGTGACTCTCCTGCCTCAGCCTCCCAAGTAGTCGGGATTACAGGCATCCACCACCACACCCAGCTAATTGTTTGTATTTTTAGTAGAGATGGGGTTTCACCATGTTGGTCAGGCTGGTCTTGACTCCCGACCTGAGTTGATCCACCCACCTCAGCCTCCTGAAGTGTGAACGACTATGCCCAGCCAACAAAGTTTTTAAAGGAAAAAATGAAGAGGATAACATCATTGTTTTAAAATAGTTTTCCTTCGCTACGGAGATAATAACAAGGGTGACAACAGTCCAAGGTTGGATAGGCATTTGTTGGGCAGATGTTTCTGCAGGAGTATTTGTGTGTGTGTGTAAGGTTGCAATGGCCTTTATGCACTGTTACAGTTTTTGCAGTTTTTTTTTTTTTTTTAAATCAGGCATATAAGCGTGAGAACCCTCTCTTCATGACCTTCCTTGGCTAGGGCTTTCTTTTTTTTTGAGATGAATTCTTGCTTTGTTGCCCAGGCTGGAGTGCAGTGGTGCAATGACAGCTCACTGCAATCTCTGTCTCCCGGGTTGAAGCAACTCTCCTGCCTTAGCCTCATGAGTAGCTGGGATTACAGGTGCCCACTACTACATCCAGCTAATTTTTGTATTTTTAGTAGAGATGGGGTTTTACCATGTTGGTCACGCTGGTCTCGAACTCTTGACCTCAGGTGATCCACCCACTTTGGCCTCCCAATGTGCTGGGATTACAGGCATGAGCCACTGAGCCCAGCCTTGCTAGGGCTTTCTTAACATTAGTGACTCCATTTTATTCTCACGACTTTCACATTTCCCCTTTTGATCAAGATCTTTCTCCAAAATCATCACTGATCAAACATTCATATTTGTGTGTGTGTGTGTGTGTGTGTGTGTGTGTGTGTGTGTGTGTGTGTTTTTGAGACGGAGTTTCGCTCTTGTTACCCAGGCGGGAGTGCAATGGCACGATCTTGGCTCACTGCTACCTCCGCCTCCTGGGTTCAGGCAATTCTTCTGCCTCAGCCTCCTGAGTAGCTGGGATTACAGGTACGCACCACCACGCCCAGCTAATTTTTGTATTTTTAGTAGAGACGGGGTTTCACCATGTTGACCAGGATGGTCTTGATCTCTTGACCTCGTGATCCACCCGCCTCGACCTCCCTAAGTGATGGGATTACAGGCGTGAGCCACCGCGCCCGGCTTTTTTTTGAGACGGAGTTTCGCCCTTGTTACCCAGGCTGGAGTGCAATGGCGCGATCTCGGCTCAACGCAACCTCCACCTCCTGGGTTCAAACAATTCTCCTGCCTCAGCCTCCTGAGTAGCTGGGATTACAGGCACGTGCCACCATGCTCCGCTAATGTTTTGTATTTTTAGTAGAGAAGGGGTTTCACCATGTTGACCAGGATGGTCTCGCTCTCTTGACCTCATGATCCACATGCCTCGGCCCCAAAGTGCTGGGATTACAGGCATGAGCCACTGCGCCCGGCCCCCATATTTGTGTTTTGATATCCCTCAATGTCAGGATGAACCTGTCCCAGTTGCTGGTCTCATGTCACATTGAGGGGAAGGATGGGTGACTTGGAGTCAGTGTCAAAACTCTTTTAGCCACATTTGAGCAACAAGGGACATTTGAAGGGAGTATCTTTTAGGTTAAATCTCTGAGTTCCATTATTAAGTTCAATTTTGTCTTTTCCATCATCTTTTGTTATCTCAAAGTGTTGAGCTGGGCCAGCATTATTTTATTAGGAGTTGTACTTCTGTAAAAATTTAACAAATGACAGATACAAAGTTTTTTTTCGTTGTTGTTTTTTAAGATGGAGTCTTACTCTGTTGCCAGGCTGGGGTGCAGTGGTGCGATCTTGGCTTACTGCAACCTCCGCTTCCCGAGTTCAAGTGATTCTCCTGCCTCAGCCTCCCGAGAAGCTGGGAGTACAGGCATGTGCCACCATGCCTGGCTAATTTTTGTATATTTAGTAGAGACAGGGT